AACTTAACATTGAAATGGCCATACTGTTGTTTTTTTGTTTTATTCCATTTACTACAGTTCATTTATATCTTAAATTATTGCCACCCACTCTCCAAAAAAATACTGCCATGTTGCAACGTTGGAAATTGCAATGATGGAGTTTCTGTCGTAGACTGGTGACCTGTCCAGGGTGGACCCCTCCTCTCGCCCAGTGCCAGCCCCCCATGATCCTTTTCAGGAATAAATGTTATAAAAGATGGATGATGGAGTTTTTAGCCATGGTGCTACTAATGGCAATGCTGGTTGGTCACTTTGGTCTTGACTGGAACACCTCAGTTACTAATAGATGGATTGCCACAAACCTTCCTGGTCCCCAGATGACAAATCCTAATGACTTTAGCAGCCCCCTGACCTTTCTTCTAGTGCCACCACAAGGCTGACAGCTTTTGTTCAAAGTGAAATAAGATAGATTGCTGTGAAATCTGGTATACACATTCACATCACCCTCAGGTATGAATTGCTTTAACTTTGATGACCGTCATGATGTCAACATTCCAATTTGCTGAATACTTTGTGCAAAAACTAAAGACATTAACATCATTGCACTTTCTGTGAATTGCTAGCAAATGTTAGCATGCTAACATGCTAAATTAAAAGGTGCATAGTCTGTTTAACATCAACATACTAACATGTTTGCATTTAGCACCACTAATGTGCCAAAAAACCAGCCTAAAATCAAAATCCAGGTTGAGCAGAATGCATATGCAGAAGTAAAGCTCAATCTAAATGAATTAATGTGTTGATACTGTCCTCTGCCTTTTAGGCAGGCAAATGACACAAAGCAGCATTAACCCAAACCACTTGGTAGTGTGATTACCTGGGGTCATTTTTTAAAGACCAGGAATCTGATGAAGTCCTGATGAAGATGTTCTGCTTGAAGCATGTCCATGTCCTAGTAAACACAAAAACCAACTTCTTAACCACACGCTGAGGTAATGGAAAAGAGAAAAGTAAGACACTTTAGAATGACTCTGGGCAATTACACCAGATACTGCTGCTTATCCACAAAGCTTGGAGCTCTCATTCACACTCAAGAGAGCAAGTCACAGCTAGTGAGTTATTAGTGACAAAACAAGGGCTTACAGTGACGTTAATTCCACTATCACTGCTATAAATCACACAAAGAGGATGCAGCAAACACTCACAACTATTCAGTCACGCAAAGCATGTGTTTATATGTCATCTAACTATCTGTTGCAAATCCACTGCCCCTGGGATTATAATAAAGAGCGGTGATGTGGTGCGCATCCAGGAGTGTGAATATATCTGAGGATTTTAAGCTCAGGGAGGAAAAGGAGGACTGTCAGTGTTTTTGTTACTGATGTAGTGGTTCAAACGTCATGTCAGGAGACAGGTAATGTTACCAGGGGAGAAGCAGAATGGTTGGTGTGACAAGATGTCTAACACAGTGCTATGCAGTTTTTAAAGCTGAGCAAGAATCCCTATGCCTAGTGTGTATGAGCTGTATGTTTCAGGATAAAGTAGCACATCTGAATTTATGTAAGAGAAGAACACTATGACTTGGATCTGATCATAACTGCATAGTGGCCGGGGGGGAACAAAACAAAAAACCCTACACCACAGTAAGACAATGTGACTTGCACCTGAATGTCACTCTGGAAAACTGTGCACCATCTACTGGTGTAATGAAGTGTAGCAACTGCAACCCCTGGTGCTCAGGCCAATCCACCTTAGAAGCAAAAAAGAAGCCTCAAAGACATAAATGGCCTTATTTTGTCATACAAAAACTAATTCCTCCACTCCTAGCAGACTTAAAGGGCCAGTTCACCCAAATGCAATACAATAAGACATATCAGTTGAATGTATGCCTTCCAATTTGATGTGCATCCCATCTTCAGGATAAGCGGTATAGATAACAGATGTCACATTAACTCAGACGCTGAAACTTTAAATGTATTTTTGAAGACTGCAAGCGCCGATACCATTTATTCACCTCAGAGCAGTGGCAGACATGTCAAAACACGAGCAAAAGTTTAATAATCTGCATAACTAGATTAAAAAAAAATTTGCATAATCTGAACAAATTGGCCCTTTAAAGATGACCAGTTGTATAACATAAGAGTAGTCTCCTTTTAAACAGGAAAATAATGAGGCGTGAGAACGTTATAATGTACAAGTTTATTTTTAATGAATTCTTCAGTGGTTGTAGTCACAGCACAGCTTGCATGTATTAAGCCACACACCTATTTTACAAGATGGCGGGAAAAAAAAAAATTAACAAAAAAGTCTAAACCAGAAAAGATGGTCATCTGTCCATCTGCAGTGACTTTTTAACTTCTTTCACTAAAATATTCTTAAAAGGCCAATGAAATGCATAAAATGTTTCTAATTGATGGTGGCGATTTGCTTTAATCCGACAACAAGACTCCTCACATGGCATTGACAGTGCATGTAGACGTTGGAAAAAGGACTGGGTTAGCGATACCTACTATTTATCTTTTTAAGTGACAACACCTTGGCTATAATACTACAGCTTTAAAAATTGGAAACAAAATGAACAGCACTCTTCCAAGATACCGAATACAACGCAAGTGAAATGTAGTGAAGCGATTTTTTTTTTTTTTTTTAACTCACAATTATGTGAACACTTACTTTAACCTGGGGGGAGAGCACTGAATGCTGCCAGACATCCCGTGTAAGAGAAAGGCTCTACTGCACTGTATCCAATGTTTGTAGACTATAAAAGAAATATAATTAAAACACACCTTTTCATCCTCTGGAGTTTGTATACTTTTAATAGTAACAGATGGGAACCATAAACGCATGCCATGTGCTGGTCTCAAACAAATACATACAGGTATATACAGCATCACTCAGTACCTGCTAAAACAAAGTGAGAAATAGAGTATAAACCGACTACACTACAAACTAAAAAAAAAAAAAAATGGGGGAGGAGCTATGGAAGCGGTGGAAGAGTGAAAAATCCTACTTGTGATGGACTCACCATTAAAGCATAAAAATGCATATTGCACATACAGTGAAAGCTTAAATTCCACCAGGTCCGCCTCGTTTCGCCAAAGCGAGAACTCATATTTTTCCCTCTTGGAGGAAGACACACAGAGGTACAAAAACAGGGAGGGGGTGGGCAAGTGTGTGTGCGCATTGGTGAACTGGGTGACGACAAAAAAAAGAAAAAAGAAAGGGAGGAGGGCCACAAGGAGCTGACAGGAGGCAAGAGTGGCACTTCAAGGGGTTAAGGAGGGAGGAAACTGCACAGCACACAACACCTACACAGAAAGAGGAAACAAAATTACATCAAAAAAGAGACTGTGGCACAAATAAAATCAGGTGTTGGATAATATCTGTTGTTCAGTGACAGCTGATAGAGAAAAGAGACCGATGCAAGTGTTTTTCTTTTTCTCTTTATGTACAACTAAGGCTTATTAGTTAAATAGTTTTCAGGCTTCCCTGCCCACAATGCTTTAACATGCTGCTCACACAACCCTTCTCCTTTTGCTCTGTAAACTCAATAATTCTATCAGGACAGCAGCCACAGGATCAAGTGGATTAGAGTCAAGGAGGTGGGTGGATGGATGGATGCTGCAGTAGTGGGGGAGCAAAAAGGACAAAGAGTTGGGAGGAGAAAAAGAAAAAGGAGTCTTGTCTCTGATGTCTGTTGCAATTAATATCTAAATGTGCAATTCCATTAGTCACTGACATGGGGGACTAGAGGATGCAGAAGACAGGACATTGGGGTGGGGGTTCAGTTCTACTTTGAAAGCTTGCTAATGACTCGAATGAGCGCTCCGTTCTCATCCTTTAGTCTCTGGTTGTCTGCTTTCAAGTCTGGGAGCATCTGAAAGGGAATAAAAGGAAACAGGGAAGGGAGAAGAGGGAGAGAGAAAAAAGTTAGACAAGTCTCAACAGATACACATGCTGAAAAACCAGTCAGGCCACTTCTACAAACTGTTAATTGTAGCCTGTGTAAGCAATCTGGGGAGTCACACAGCATCCCTCATGTTCTGTTCTCTGCCTTTTTGTAACATCTCATACTTGTTCCAAGTAACGAGAGAAAAGTAAAAGCGGGCACACCACAGGCCAAGGTTCCTGAGAAAGCCATGCAGAACCTGAACTGCTGCTCAGTGAGATCCAGACAAATACACAGCACAGATGAAGTCACTTTTGTAATTTCATCTACACAACATTGATTATTGTTTAGAACTGTTAGACTTTGGTTCTTCTTACCATTGCTAACTCTAAGAGACGAGGCAGTCCAAGTAACTTCAAAACAGTGCTGATTTATTCAATGATCACAGGTAAAATTAACATTACACGCTCAGATATCTTCCACCTCCAAACTGCTCACAGGCAGATGTAAGATGAAAGACCCTGAACCCACCAGGCCTATACATTATATCCCTTCGGTTGGGCTAGCCCCATACTACACAGAAACGTCAACCGAGACGTCTCTGTTACCAGCTTTGCAGCTGGTCATAGCAGTAGTCAAAACATGAAGCAAATCAATGTGTGTGTGTGTGTCTGTTGGTTAAGTGGTGTGTAACTAAAAACATTCTCATGACCTCTAGTAACATGTTGTGATATTAAACATAAGAACAGATTATGGCTAAGGCTACAGTTATACACGTCATAATAATAATAATATTAACCACCCTGTCTGCTGACAGTCATCAACTCTTCTCTCTAGTTATCCTTGACCAGATGTACCCTGTAGAAACTCATAAGCATGACTAAGCATTTAACAGTCTAACTAGACATCCTATCTCCACTAAACATTTCTAATACATAAAGTATCTATCCAATTTCTATCTGACTAAAAATACCTAACAGAACCCAGCAGAGCCTGGCAGGAGGCAACTCGAGAAAACTTAGGCTCTGGAATAATGACTTGTGTCAGGTCGAAAGAGTCTGTGCTCCTGATTTACTGGAAAAATCACAGCAACAACTGAACTGACAGGTTGCTGGGAAGTGAACTAGGAGCACCCAGTGCTAGCAGAACACTAGCAGCTCTGATTTGGTGCAGGACTACAAATACTGCATCTGTTCCTTCATATTAAAAATGTTCAGAGATTTCCTTTATTACATGTACACTTTCCTTCAAAAATCTTTAATCACTTGTGACACTGGATGGCAAAACTAGCCTGACTTTATTAGGGTAACAGTACTGCAAAATACAGAGTGAACACTACTGGCCAAGTCAGCTTGGTTTAATGCAGTCTTGCACTGATTTGGAACCGAGATATGAGGATATACTTAAACATTTACCAGCTAATCTTTAACTTTGACCACCTATGGTATTAAAATGTCAACGTAATGTTCTGTATACAAACCTCATCAGTTTAAGAGCACAATTAGTATTTCTTTCTCCACAACACCTGACTACTATCCAAAGCAATACTGCATCAAGTCTGATTGACCTTCTTACTTTTTAATGTTATGTGATTTGGCATAAATCTGTACAAGTCTGACATTTTCCAGATGCTAAATAACACCAAATAAAAATGACTTCTTTCGGCTGTTCCCGTTAGGGGGCGCCACAGCGAATCATCTGTTTCCACCTAACTCTATCCTCAGCATCCTCTACTCTCACCCCAGTTAACTTCATGTCCTCTTTTAGCACATCCATATATCTCCTCTTTGGCCTTCCTCTTGACCTCTTGCCTGGCAGCTCCATCTCCAACATCCTTCTACCAATATAACCACTATCCCTCCTCTGCACATGTATAAATAAAAGTTACTTCAATCTGCAATATATGACAGTCAAAAATGTATTATTCTAGTAAATATTTACAGATATCACTCCTTAAAATAAAGTGTACAAATGTACAGTGCCTGTGCAGCTGAGGACATTAGGAATAACTTGTGTTCTACGGTTTTCAGAGGTTCTTTACTGACACACAACAGAGAATCTCCAGCAAGAGATTTCAGTGTCCCTACACAAAACAGTCAACTGCTATTTGATGATGTATCACATACATTTTATTCAATATTGATCAGGCACAATGCTAAACCAGTGTCCAAATGAGTTTGCTGGTGCATGCAGCTGTCTCCCTTGGTTGATGTTATCGATTAAAATTAGAACTGAGGCAAAACAGGTAAGGGGAAAGAAAAATATTCAGTCTCTGAAATTTTGGGCCCAAAAAAATTGTCAAAAAAAAAAAAGCCACTTCATGCAAAAAAGCCAGAACAAGCCAAACCGAACAAGTGAGCTTCCTGTGATGGAAGCATCACAACTAGAAACAGCAAACAGGACACTTTCTTTTACAGTAGTTGATGTGTTAAAGGTGTGTAAATAATTCCTATTTGGAGTAAATTTAGATGCCTGCCAGCCAAACAACACTTACCTCAGTTGTTCTCTACCCATGTAAATTAGGCTGAAATCTTCAGGATGTTTGTAACACTGAAGTGTGGAAAACACCTGATAATCATGTACTGTAAAGAGAGAGTGTCCTGATGTAAGAGCCAAGAGACACCCTCCCCAATCTCAAAAACCAAAAGCTCTGGGGAGGCAGAGGGGCGGAAAGAGGAGTTTACGGCTTGGCACCTGCCTGTCTATGGGCGCGGGGCAGAGCGTGAATGGAGCATGACAAGAATGGGGTGGGGAAGGGGCAGGTGAGAAGAAGAAGAAGAGCAGGACGAAAAGGAGATGGTGGTGGACAGAAGGGTGTGACTTAGAGGTCGACGGTGGGCAGCTGGCTGCAGGCGGACTGCGAGAGCTTTGCCACCACCCGGGCCAGGGCCCGGTTCTCAGCCTGCAGCCGCTCCTTAACCTGCCGTAGGGCCTGAACCTGCTTTACCTGGGGGAGGTTCTGCGGGAGGGAGGAACAACAAACAGAGGAGAACAAAGAGAGAGGGAGGACGGAAAGAGCGAGTTAAAGTGAAAGAATGGCAGAAAAGGAAAAATGTGTTTCAAGAAACCAATGAGAAGAGAAAAGATTAATGAAAAACCAGACATTGTAAATTAAGAGAGAAGGGGGGGCCGAGAGGAGGAACAAGGGAAAACAGAAAAGGAAGACTGTTAGAAACAGCGACAGATTTTGGACACCGAAGGAATGATAAAGAGTTTACTACTTCAGCATGATGCTTGTAGACAGAATGGAAAAGTGACATTGATAAGATTAAGCCAGATGCCTACAACCTAAAAATAAACACACTTCATTACCACTGTGATGGAAAAACTCTTGCTTACTAGAGTTTAATGGATTTCTTCCTTCCACCCTGATCCGTTAGTTTTCCAGAGAAGAAACATTTAATTGGCCGTGTCAACAGACGAGCTTAACTGTTACACCAGTTAACCTGAGATGAGCCCTGAGCAGAATATTAGATGAGCATTTAGCAGCTAGACAAAAAGGCTAAAATGGAGACTGATTTCTTTTTTTCTGGAAATGACCTTTCAAAGGGCAGAGGTCATTTTCCAGACATTTATGTACAAGACAACCATCACAGGCTGTTTGTGGTCCAGATGTTGCTAGTTGACCCACTTTCAACTCCTGTTATACTGTCAGCCTTAGACATGATTAGTTAGCCCAAATGCTTTTTTGCTATGGGCGGATTACATTTCTAACGAGATGCACACACAGGCCACTATCTTTCAAGTAGTCAAAAATGACATGTCTTCATGTCATGAGTGTGATGAAATCATTCTGGGACTCTGGAGTGTTTAGGGGATATTTTGCTCGTCACAATTAGTCTGAATAGAGTGGCTGCTCAAAACTCGAGCATGAAAAATATTTTATTTAATAACGGATATTATATTTGCCTTTGTTTTCATAGAAACAGAACTGATGCAAATACTGCATCAGTATTTCAAGAAAGATGCCTGATTTTTGTAGTTTAGTTCATCATTCTTTGCCAAGATCCGGTTGTACCTCCAAGATTTTAGAATAATCTGTTGACTTGTTGTGACTGAGTGCTTGTCTTTCTTGTTCTATTGCTACAAGTACAATGTTATCACAGCTGATAAAAAAAGAAAATAGACATTTTTTAATCATGGCAATTGAGAGGACTCCTATTAAACACAAACGGAGTGAGCCATATGAAGTGAAAGTATCACCTACACACTGAACTCCACTATACATGAACATTAAATAGAAGGCAGCGTCTTCATGTATGGCTGTGTGTGGTAGTACCTTAAGTTCCTCCTCCATCTCAGAAATCTTTCTTTCTAGAGCTCTTCTTTCCTGTTGGGGGAGGACAGCAATTAATTAATTCTGGACTCGCATGACACTTCATAGAAAACACTTCAGTGCCAGAGGTGAGGGTGTAGTGACAGCACACACACACGAACATACGCACGTCTCGTGAGGTGTCTGCAAGCAACAGCCAGTTTAGACCAACATATTCAGTGGTGTTTACAGAGTTGACATGTGAAGGCAGGAATGAGTCAACAAATGGGGACTCTGATGTTTACCGGGTGTGTTTGTTGGTAAATTAATGAAATGATTCATGGACAGGGAGAGGTCAGAATGTCTTTTGGTACTGAGGACAAATGACACACGGATGATGATCCCAAATGTTACTCAGATTACAGCACAGACTTTAAGAAGCAGTGAATTAAGTAAATATACCCAGTGGTTAGAAAGTCATGGGTACACAGTTTGAGACACCACCATGATTTCAGAATGAGTGAAAAAGCATACAAACACACATGCACTTTTTTTTTTCTTTACATGTAATGATTTATAATCACTCTACTTCCAGCACTAATCAAGATAAACACACTTTCACAGGCTCCAAAATAAAACAGCAATCTGTAAAAGTGGTGGTCACACGCTGCCTCTGAAGTTCAAAAACTAAGTGAAAGAAAAGGTGGCAGTGATCCTTTGACCCCAGCTACAAGGGAATGTGCGAGACGACAGCCAGCAGCAGAGAGGATACAAAAACTCAGGGTAAGATCATACCACTACCCAGATGATATTGGGCCCTGCTTGTTACCTTCAGACATAAAGCCATCGGCAGTGTTACTGTGATGTTCAAGCAGGTAGAATTTACCAAAACTGACATTAAGGTTTTCAGTTCTACATTTCATGTGAGATAAATGTAAACTTTAGCGAGACAAGAGTAGTAAGATTCATTCAGAGTGTACATAAAAGGAAGACTTTTATAACAGATTAAACTAGTTTTGTCATTACCCTTTTCTCCATCTCAAGCTGTGAGCGGTCAGCGTAGCGTTCCTGCCTCTGCATGGAGAAAACAACAGAGCACATCAGAAACTTTAATGATCTCCTTAAAGCTTTTGCTAATCAGCTGAAGCAGTGCGAGTTCAGCAAACCTGTGTGGCCTTTTCTAGTTGTAGCTTCAAGTCTGCCAGCTCCAGGTCTGTGTCACGTAACTGGGCCTTCAACTTCTCGTTCTCAGCTAAGATCTGCTCATAGAGCTGAAGAAAAGATCAACAGTCAATAAGTATATCCTTGAATTAACCTAAACCATTCATTATTATCCTGCAGACAAGTGTATGAATTAGTGCTATAGAAAAGAGTTTGAACTACATATACCTTCTTATAGTCAGTGGTGTCATCTCTATCCAGTCGGCTCGAGTACGGCCTTCGATTCTCGCCATAGCTACGGCTAAAAAGAGTGTCATTGCGATCTAAGGATGAAGTGCTCTCATTCCTGCAACAGTAATGATAAGAATTTGCCTATAACCAAATGATTTACCAACACAGGGATACACACAGATGAAGGATAAGAATCATCATAAAATATGAAGGTGGTAAAACCTACCTGGACAATCTGTCACTCTGTAAGAGAACAAAAAAAAAAGCACAGTAAATGTTGATGTCCACAAACAGAAGCATAAAAGCGGCTGGTCTCAAATTCCTGGTTCCAGTCAGTGTACACAGGAGGACAGCTCATACATTTGTACACAGGGATAAAATCAGTTATGTTGATTTTAGTCTGCAGCCTCCTCTGTAGGTCTCAGCACCTGACCTCTACTCCCATGCACTCAGCTGCCAACAAACTGCTTGAGATGTAAATACATACACACTAATCCCCAAACAGCTGCCATGCCTGACAGTACCTCCAGGCCTGCTGGGCTTTTGCACAGCCACAGCAGCAGCCAGACATCAGATAGGGAAGTCAGGTTGAAGGGTTGGGCTTCCAGCTATTCTAAAAATGCAGTCAGCTTCCTGAGGCAGATGGAGGGCGGTGATACAACAATGCTACAATCTGAATCCCGACGTCCTGAAAACCCTCCAGGAAAATGCTCAACACAAAGTTCAGCTGATCAGATAAACAGCCAGCATGTGTGACTGAAGATGCAGGCAGATGATGGCTCTGACTTTGTCAATATGGCTGATAAATACAACTGTTTTGTGTTTTGACTTTTGTTTTTAAATATCTCAACAATCAGGACATATTCCAGCATTTGGTTTAGGTTTCAAAACTCAAATCTGGAGGAGTTTGAATAATTTTACCTGGGAAGGTTAAATATTTTGCAATCCTACCACTTAAAAAGTCTAGTAAAAATACATGTGTATATATATTTTACATTATGGTACTTTCAAGTGAGAGCGTGCCAGGCTGGAAAGGAAGAGACTCAAAAGTTCTTCCTTTTGCATGTCCATGCAGAGATAACTGCTTGTTTCCTATTCAGTGTTCTGTGGCTACTCCACCCTCCACTGTCCTGATGCATATGATGGCTGCCAGCTGCGCACGTCGTCCCCGTCTCCCTGCTGATTGTACTCATGTAGATGACCGCTACCTGCTCTCCGTATTACGCTGCAATAGACACTCCCATTCAAACAGGAAGTTCACCCAGCTGGCATTTTCACAACACTGCCCTAATTGGTTCTGACATTTCTCATCATTCTCATTTCAGTAACTTGAACATGTGCATGACAATGGGCTTCCTTCTGACAAACTGGTTATTTCATTTCTTACGCATTAATGCTGCTCATCACTGAATGAAATTCTCATTTAGAATTACCTCACATACACAATCTAATCTCCAAATTTCAAATCAGAAAAAGCACTCCATCTCATTCATGTGTGTGCTCTGACCCAGACTTCCCTTGCCATTGTGTATCTACATGTTTTGAAGACCTAGTGATGCACAGCAGAGATTACTTTCGGTTTGCATAGTCAGCCCAGCAACCAGATGTCCAGGAGAAGGAAACGGGAGGAACAATAAAATTTCAAAGACCAGAGAAGCTGAGAGGAAAGATAAGTAGAAGGACAGGAAATCATAGCAGAGCAGTGAACATCAAAGACTTGTGAACCAGCTTGGCTTCGACTTGATGAGGAGACAGAACAGGGAATAAATACAGAAGGGCAGAAATCACACAGACGTCAAGGCTCGAGGGCTCCTACTTAAGTCAGTTTTTTTCTACTTTCTGCCCTGTCTGTCAGTGTGTGTTGCGTTACCTGTGGTTCTCCCTTGGTGCTGCCTTCCTCGGAGTCTGACTGCTGGTCAGGCTCATGCTCATCACCCTGGAATAAAAACAGCACATTGACAGGAAGGTTAAGCATGGCGTCTGACTCCGGCTAACCAAATGATCAAAGAGGAACACTTGGGGTTGTGCCAGTGTTCTGAACTAATGAACCCCATGAAGAGTGCAATGAATACTTAAATAACGTATTTTTAAAAAGACTAGGGGCGGGAACGTTTACAGATTTTCATAAATGAGTACTCTCAGATTTTTGGCAGCGTGTACACTTTTGTTTGGATCAATAAGTCACAAAGAAAACATTGTTAAAACACCTATGATGCCTTTTACAACCGCAGTAAGGTAGACAAGCTATAGCCAAATTTACAGAGGGACATCCTCCACGCTGGAGATGGTCCCTGGACAGTTTGTGTTTGAATATGTGAACATTTTTCTAACTTTGCTGTAGAGTGGAGGTGCACAGTCATCACGAATCACTGAAATCCACATAAAATAATGAGTTTACATATGGGCACAGAAAACATCAAATGAAGCCTTATGAGCCATGATAAATGATGCATAGGCTGCACGTGTACTGATCAGCAGGTAAAGTCAGTTCATGCACTGCTGCCATGAGGTGGCTTTGAGCCATTGCAGGGCTGTGTGATACTGTAGCTGTTTGATGCTTCTTTGGGTAACGAGGTGAAAGTATCTTAATTTATGGATGAAGTTACAAAATGTTTCGAACCACCGTCCCCCCACCCCCACCCTACAAACTTATTTAAACTTTCTGGATTTCATGTACTGGTAGAGGTTTGATGTTACAAGATGGAAACTGTCAAAGCAATGATAGGTGAAACCTTCTTGCTCAGGTATTGGGCCACTGTGTCTGGCATTCACTGCATGATCAACATTTACTATGTAGTTTCAAGTGTATGACCCGATCTAATATGAAATCACACACCCCGGAAGTGGATCATATCATTTCTACTGTAACGTGAGCCTGTGCAGTTTGGTGTGAGTAACGGCAGCCACACTGACTTCACCTGTTGTCAGTAAGGTCTGGAACATAATCAGGACATGTGCAGGGTATCTGCTCATCAACTGCATTCACGTGTTATTTTGCAGGGATTTAAGTGTCTGATCAGTGACTCTCCAGGACCAGCTGGAGCTCACCTCCTGGGTGCAATGCTGGTCACTGTGTGGAAAGTTGGAATGGGAGGTGTTGTGAGAGAGAGAGAGAGAGAGAGAGAGAGAGAGAGAGAGAGAGAGAGAGAGAGAGAGAGAGAGAGAGAGAGAGAGAGAGAGAGAGAGAGAGAGGCTGCTGAACTTAGTGAGCGCACTGCTCAAAGAGAGTGTGTGCGCTGCAGTCACTTTATAACGAGAAAATACAGCAGCCCATTACAAGGAGAAAGTAGAGTATATTGTAAAAAAAATAAAAATCCTGTTTTAATGGGAACAAATCTCGTAAAAACTAGCATTAAGGCCACGTTCACACTGCAGGCTGAAGTGGCCCAAATCCGATCTTTTTGCCCAAACGTGACCCATATCCGATTTCCTTATGACAGTGTGAACAGCACAAATCCAATTTTGTCAAATCCGGCCCAGGCCACTTTCATATGTGGTCCTAAATCGGATACATATCCGATGTTTTGCAATGCAACTTCAGTCTGAACGGCCAGGTCGCATTTCATGCGATTTTTATGTCATTGAAATGCGACAGATGTCACAATTCTGCGCTGGAGGAGGCGAGGCCATAAGCAATATTTGTGCTCCCCTCCTTCTTGATGTTCTTCTCATTATTATTTCTTTATTTCAATTGCACATTAACTGGTACATCGCTACGCACATGCCATCACGAGCCACATCCATTTTTATTTTTCCAAACACCGTCACGTCCTCTTCTGCGCATGCGGGTCACCTCAGGGCCGTAGACCGTTCACACATGAGACAGATGGCAGTCGCATTTAAATGACAGTGTGAACAACAGCACAAAAAAATCCGATCTGAGCATTAAGACCTGCAGTGTGAACGTAGTCTTAGGCGAGTCAAACATCGTCTAAACGATTATGGTATGGTCAGGGTGTACACGTGTACTTGATCCCACCCCTAAAAAAGACACCTATCATTGTCTGAGAGTCTCTTACATCTTGGGCCCAGAAGGAAACCCCAGTGGAGCGCCTTTTCTCGCGGGGCCGCCTGCGATCCCGTATGGAGCGGGGCTTGTCCTCCCCCTCTTTCTCCTCCTCCCTTTTGTCTGTTTCTGAATTTCAGAAAAATGACAACAGGTAAACTACAATACCAACACAGGAAAATTAAGCCATTTTGCCAAAGTTATACTAAGCCCAGACCAAGAACAAGCCTTATGAAACACCATTTTCCCCCATTTGTATCATTATTGCTTTTGACCTCTGCCCTGTATTTCAGCAAAAAACCTTTTTACTCTTTATCTTTTAACATCAATAGTGCAAATGTTCATGAAGTAATCCTCACAGGGATTTAAACAGCAAGACTGAAAAGTCCAGGTTAAACAAGGCAATGGTTTGACTGCACAAAGGCACAATCAGGCCACAACTTAATTTGGTCCGAGTTCAGAGAAAAAAAGGCCCTGGCCGTGGGAGAACAAAGCAGTCAGTGTTTTCTCGAGCTGAACAGACTAAAGCTGCTGTCTATTTTCCCAGGGATGGTTCATGGATTTATTCTTTGACAAGAGCTACTTCATTTAAAAGGCAACCCAATCCCTTTCAGTCTAAATCCTCTTCATCGCCATGTGGCAGTTTGCCCATGTGAATGTGCACCTGCGGCGACAGATACCAGCATAAGGTGGAATTTAGGAGCTATGCATCTATGTACTGGGCCTAAATCTGGTAATTTCAGTGTAATGATAATTGAGATAGCTGCTTTCTGTGACAATGTTTTGATTATATTCAACTTAAAGTTATAGCCAAAGTACAAATAATGTGACTGAACAAAAGTAGCAAATTTAGTGTGAAACCTATTAGGTCAAAGTGTTCATTTGTTATATACACAGCTAGGAAACATGCTATTAGCTAAAATGCAGCATGTTATTGCTCATGTGACACAAAGCTTGAATTAGTCCCAAATAAAAATCATAACTAATTCAGTACAACAGCAAAATCATGACCATGCTAATGTTATCAAAACAAACACATTTGCTTTAGATGTTAACACATCCAGAAGGAAGAAAGGCACATCTGAATTAAATGTGCGTCTTTTGGCTGCTTTTAACCCTCTCCATGTCAAAAAGCCAAACTGATGTTAACCCTGGTTTTTGCTCTTTGACCCAATCTCTCTGTGCTAAAGAACACCACTTCATCAGTCTCTTCCTTCAGCTAGTCTCGGGCTGTCTGAAACAACTACTCACCTTTTGGAAACCGTTTCTTAAAACCTTGGGGCTAAATTATAGAAGAACACAGGCTAGAGAAGCTGGAATAATAACAGAAAGGCTGTAGGCTGCAGAGTGTCATGGACGGAGAGTTAAGAATAGCTGAGACACACACCACGTCCTGTCCCCTTTTCACTAGATTTATCATACTGTGCGCTAAATCTTAGTTCAGGCACCTTTAAATTTGACTTGAGGTCAAGGCACCTTTCTAGATATGAAAGGCACAAGTTACCGACCTTTCTCTGTATCTCTGGAGGAACGGCTATAGGAGGAGGTGATCCCTGTCAGACTGTTAGGCCTGTTGAGGGAGCTGGAACTGGAGGACAATGTGGTGCTAGAGTAGGATGGGGTGGAGGCAGTGCTGAGTGTGGAAATGACAGAAGTGGAGGAGGAAGATGAAGGCCGGTAACGCTGTTAGGGAGAAAGAAGATAGGTAAGGATAAGCATAACCAAATATTCAAGGTGTACATTACTGTAAAGTCACAGTGACCTCTTTTAGGTAAGCTGTTACTTAATGTACCTCTTCAAAGCTGCGATATTTCGATCGGTAATCGTCCTCCTTGGTCTCTGTCTCCTTCTTCTCCTCCTGCGGCTTCTCTTTGTCCTGCTTCTCTTTCTCCTCCTTCTCCTCCTCACGGGTCTTTGTGGTATGACTCCTGCCGATTGTTTTCTCAGCCTCTTGCAAGTCGGTCAGTGTCACACCCTGGAAGAGTATTATTGAACCTTGCTTTCTTGATTGGATGATTTTTTTTTTTTTAAATCTATAAACATTCTTACTATTCTCTGCGTAAGAACTGTCATGTTGCTCTCATAGATGTTCAACTAGGCTGAGATCTGGTGCCTGTGAAGGCCACAGCATATGATTCACATCATTTTCATACTCAAACCATTCAGTGACCCCTCATCCCCTGTGGATGAGGGCACTGTCATGGTGGAAAAGAAATTCATTTAATGAAGTTTTCCTTTCATTTCTGTATATAGAAGTTAAGGGTTAACTAACCTGGGTAGACCTCCTCGACTGTCGAGCCTGTCTAGAGCGAGCTTTCCTCTGGGACTCTGACTCCTCGTCACGCACTGGTGTCAGGTATGACCTGACAAACACAAAGACACACATAAGGTTCATCATTTGGCAATAAAAGGAAAAAATACAAAGCTCTGGGATTAGAAAACTTTCAATAAATGCTTTTCAGTGAACATCTTTCATAAATGTCTGGTAAATGCCCTCGATGTGATCAGAAGGCTGACTGCTTTACAAACTAGCTTGGAAAGTGAGAAAATACTGTGGTAAAACAGAACTCAGATGTCAGTGTTTAACCTCCTGCCATAACAGTATCATCCTGTACAGGTAACACTAACTGGGAAATAAAACTGCTCTCTGCTAGCATGTTTTCTCCGTAGGGAGCATGCCCCTGTTGGAGGCACAGGAGTATGAACTCAGTGGAGCTTTGGTCTTGAGGAAAATGTGCAGCTTCTGCCCTTCTTCCTTATAAGGAGAAGTCACTGAAGCAGTCCAGACTTTGAAACAGCCCTGCTCCACTCACACCATGACAGGTGGCTTATTTCAGCACTGCAACAGGAAGACTCACACTCAGCCCTACGCAAACACACACAACACACACTCCCTCTGTCGCAGACGGACACAAACTCTTCCCTCTCCACATGTGTGTACAGAGCCAAACTCTCTCACACACACCCTGTTCTCAAACAGAAGAAATGCATCCGGATTGAGTGAACTACTCAATCGTTTCAACAGTCAGCATATTTTCATATAATTAAAAGCAAAACTAAGTTATAATGTAATATAAGAAAAATATAATACATGGGCATATTTATTCACATCTAATGACATAAATGTCTGAGCTGCTTAGTAAAAAATACGTAATTTTTTTGTTACCTGCGCCTTTCAGAGCCAGTGACTGTGCCAGTGGTGTTGGTGGTGGTTGATATGGCGGAGGTGGTAGTGGTAGATGTGGTCGTAGTAGAGCCAGTGTTTATCGTGGGGATGACCGCAACGGACTCCTTTTCCTTCTCCTTTTCCCTCTCTGCACTCTCTTCTGACCAGTACCTGTTCATACACATTTCACAAAAACCTTGTTTAGACCAACTGCATCTATTCTAGTTGCATCTGTAGAGCTGTCTTTTGTGATTGTACAGGGTTTTCATAAGAAGCCACATGGCTGCTGCTGCCATGAAGTTTATTTCTCTGCTTTTTCTGGAATGCAGGATGATTGTGTCAGTCTGATTTTGTGTTACAATATTAACATGTTGGTTCACTAGCAGTCTGTTTTACACAGCAGATTACTTCAGCATTGGTTGCATATGCATCATTATTAATTTCGTAACATTAGTAATGCAGCAAGCTAAGCTTAAAATACCTTCTTGTTCACATCAATTGAGTGATGTTGACAAAGACTTTGCAGAAAAGTAATGTGATAATCCTGTTTTTGCATGCATGCCACCTTTCTAAAGCCTGTTGCTAGGCTTACTCAAACTCCACCAAGTGCCAAGCCTTGCTCATATACCTGCTGGTGAGACTGGTGGAGCCAGTGCGGGTGGAGGAGGAGCCCAGGCTGGAAAGCAGGCTGCGATGGCCTGTGGGCGAGGTAACAGATGAGGTGGCGGTGGTGGTCATGGAGGTGGTGGTCGGGGAGCTTAAATCCTCATGTCTTCTGCCAAAAGAGTCGCTATAGGATTAAATAAAAGAAGAAAAAAAAAAAAAGATGCCAGTGAGACTGAGTGGAAGAAAGGCTGTGTGATTCCAGCCCGTTGCAACCATCTTGCCATATGCTGTATTCACATTTATCACCGTCAAAATTTGTATTCACATCTTTATTTCTGATCAAATTAATTCTTTTTAGGGAGCCTAATTTTATAATTATTATTACACATGGCATCTACAAATTGCAATTTACACTTACAAGCTGAGGCCTGTATAAAATGAGCCATTTAAGAAACATCAAGTAGTGGGCAAAGGTAAACTATGGTGGTGAGGTATTGGTTATTGAAACAAGGGGGAAATTATATTTATACTGAACTCTCCCTCCTTGGTAGTCTTGAGGACAAGGATGCCTCAATCTGTGTTTGGTGAAATGAGCACTGGGCAGGAGCTCACCATCTTTTTTTAAACCACAGTTCCAGACCCTACAGTATTACTAATTGCAGTGGTTTGAAATCCCTTTATTTCACAGTAAGTCTAAATGCTGTATTTTGGGTCACCGTCATCCAGAATTAAACATTTCTTCCAATATTAATTTTAACAATAAATGTATCCCGAGGAATACAAAACAAATGGCAGGCACTACAGCTGAGCAGAGACACACAGGACAGGTGGATGAACAAAGGCGGTGCCCCAGTGAGGCTGGTGTACCTGCGATAAATGCTGTAAGACTGGTAGTGGGAGGTGGGTGGCTGCCAAGGTTTAGTATTACAGGTGTTAGGGTCCAAGCTGGAGGTGGACGAAGACTTGGCTGGCACGTCCCGCGTGCTGCCGCTCCGCCCTAGTGCTAGCGTATGGGATGTGCTGGTGTGTTGGCAGGCAGGTGGGTGAGAGAGGCATGTTAGCGGTGGAGGCGCACACACACACAAACAGATACAGTATAAGAAACATTCATATTTAAGACTATTGAGCGGATTGGTGCATTCAGGTCATATGGGACTAGATGTTAAAATTATTGGACAGTTGGGATCAGCAAAAAAGAGTGCTGATGAGTAGTCTGGAGAAAACACAGGAGGGTTTTTGTGATTGCATCATCTTTAAATCAGCACATACTATCATTAAATTTCAGACATTTCTGATGACAAAGAAAATGTAGTTTCAAAATGTCTATGCTTAATTCGAGAATGTCTTTTTCTAGTCAGAATTAATGAACTTAGACAAATACATGAAATGACAAATTCCCAAGAACTGTAAACCAATTAGATGGTTCGGTATGCAGGATTTTTCCCAACAGGACATGAATGCAGCATAAGTCCATGTCTAGGTTTTGTGCCATGAACAACTCTGGGAATCTGATTTTTATGGTGGTCTCTGAGTAATGCAAAACAGTGGCACAGGAACCTGACAGGACAGGTACAGTCATGCAACAGACCTAATGGCAATGATGGAGAAAGGCATTGGGCTTATTTGCATAGCTTTCTTAGCAGCTGCTGCTGCGCATGGAAGCCTGTACATGCATATCTCTGATGATATAATCCAACCAAAATACACTGTAGATGAACAACTATCAATGCTGTCTGCACAGCAGCTTTAGTTCCAAAGCTATGCAAGACATCCCATAAACGGACCAACACATCAGATCAGATGGAACAGAGATCTGATGACAAGATGAGGAATGGAGGTTTGGCAGCGATTTACATCAAAGCAAAGGCTAACCTGCGCTGGTAGCTGGTGGTTCGGTTGGTGGAGGCACTTCCTTCGCTGTTTTTCAGGTCATCATCCCAGCGTCGCCGGGTGTAGGAGCCACTACGTATCAGAGCAGCAGAGTCCCTGGGGAACCATAACCTTCAAATGTACCCCAGGAGTCCACAAATTCTGACATGTATACTAGATATTTGCTTATACATACTGTAGTCTTTCAGCATTATGCCTGATCCTTTATGACATCTGTCCTTTCTAATGAACTGCTCAACTCCACCAAATCAATTGCAGCCTAAAATATCAACATAGCTAAAAGCATTTTCTGAGGGCTACACACCCCATGCAGAGCACTGAGGCCATTTTCTGCAACACACAGCAGTGCAGCAGGAGCTTTTCATGCCTATGTTTTTCCTTTTATTGCAAGGCTCCAGAGCTTCACCTGTTTTCCTTCTCGTCAATGTCTGAAGTACTGGCCAGTCTCCTCGGGATGGTGGGGGCCACATAGGCAAGCCGGGTTCCTTTGTCCTTTTCCTGTATGCAGAGGAACTAACATGACCAAGGATTCACAACAACTTTCACTTTATATAATGCTAAAAAGTATCCAAGACGGCATTTCAGTCTCATGAGCTCTTAAAAAGCACAGAACTTCATGGTAGCATCCTTTTCAAAAACAAGTTGTAGCCAACTGGTATATGAGCACTTCACAAAAGGATCATAATATAGCTAAAAGGAAACACTGTAGCTGAATTTAAACTATTAAGTACCCCCATCCTATAATATAATTGTGTATTAAGTACGCTGTGGGCTCCAAATACCTGAGCTGTTACTGCATACATTTCTCTGAGTACCCTGGTGATTCAGTGAGCTCAGACATATACCTTCTCTTTGTTGTCTAGAGATGAGGAAAGTCGAGGGCTTGAAGCCGAGCGCATCACCCCAGTTGTGTCCTTTTCCCTCTGAGCCTCCTTGGTGGCTGTGATCTCCGCTAGTGCCCCGTAGCTGCCCGTTTTCCTCAAACCCAGACGCCACGATGCTGGAGACTCATCCTTTCTCTCCTCCTCCACTTTAGTTGAGACCTTTGCAGCAGGCTGAGTGACCTGAGAGGTGGGATTAAGTACACAGAAAAGTATGAGGGAATACAAAAGTACAAAACTGTTAAATGAGATGTTTAGTCAACTTGGTGAGTAACACAAAAGCCAATCAGGTCAAAACATTATGGATTAATCTCCAGGTTTTAATGATGACACTAGCAATAGACACTTTTAAGGAAGGACATGCTAGTTAAAAGGTACAATCACATAATGATCTAGAGTAAAAATGTACTTGATTCTCAGCCAATCTTTTTAAGGTATTCTTGAGTACATGCTATTCTCAAAACATGACAAATGTAATGATCTTAAATAGTGGGTGGCAAAGTGTCTTCAACCAGTTTGCATTTTCCAGCCCAATTTATAATTTTCACACAAAGTCTGTCCACATATACATTTCCAGAAGAAGAGGCGCCACTTAACACACAGACGGCCACAGACAAAATCTGAAAGCACAATTAGGACCGTGCATGTGTTGATTTATAATGAAATGAAAAGATACAATGTAGGGTTGATGAGTCAAAGTCAGCAACATGGAGG